TATATCTTTTTTCTTTCCTTTTACTTTTAAATATCCATTCTTTTACTTTTGAAGTGGATTTCTCTTAGGCAGCCCATAGCTGAATCTTGCTTTTTTATCCAATCTGGCAAAGTGTCTTTTCATTGGTGTGCTTAGAAGAGATATTTTTATACATAAGAAAGTGTGCATTATTTTTGTGATCCCAAGATTAGTTATTTTTTATGAGGTGTCTTCTTGGGTTTTGCATTTTAACTGAGATTTTTTAAAGCTGTGAAGGGAAGGAAGACAACAGAATCTAATCTGAAACCTAAAGGAATTACCATATACTGTGCCCCAATTTCCTGCCAAACATTGTGCTCCGTCCTTTCTTCTCATTCAGCTAGTGTGACAAGCACTAGGGTTCCATCTTACTGATGGAGGAAAGTGAGGCCCACAGCACATTCTTGCCTTCCTCCATAGCGATAAAATATCTAGGCAAAATCACCAAAGAAGAGCACAACTCCAAGTCCTTCTTATGGCTAGGTTTGCCCTGTGACTTAGAGCTGGGCAATGAGAGAGAAATTCCTGGAAACTTTTTTCCCCAGGAAAGAGCTGACCTACTGTCTCTGCTTCTTTGTTCATTCCCTCTTCCACCCTACTAACTGAACTGGAGATGTGATGACCAGGTGACCCCTAGTGCTGACCACAGCTACGCTGGCCCATTAGGAGAAGCACCACTGTCTCGGGAATGGGAGAATGCTGATCTGTAGGAAGCCTGCCCACTCCCCCTGTGGCCTCAGTGGAACAGAATCACACCTACCCCTGGGTGCTCTCACGCATGCTCAGCTGTGTCCAACTCTTTGCGACCCCATAGACATAGCCCACCAGGCTCCTCTGTCCAAGGGGATTCTCCAGCAAGAACACTGGAGTGGGCTGCCATGCCCTCCTCCAGGGGATCTTCCCGATGCCGGGATCGAACCAGCATCTCCTGCATGCAGATTCAATGGATTGGCAGGTGGATTCTTTACCACTGAGCCACCTGTAACTCCTCCAACTTTTATATAAGGGAGAAATAAACATCTACCTCGAGTAAGCTCCCATTCTTTAGGGAGTTCATTATTTGTTCTTGAACCCAATCCTAACAGCTATAGCTTAGTGATGAATTAACATAATTATACTCTAACCTATGTTTGGACCTATGTTTGGACAGATTCATACTAGCATCTTTCATCCTTTTGTGTGGAAGTCACCTGATGGGAAAAGCCGACTCACTGGAAAAGACCTTGATGCTGGGAAAGATTGAGGGCAGGAGGAAAAGGGGGCAACAGAGGATGAGATGGTTGAATGGCATCATCAACGATGGAAAAGAGTTTGAGCAAGCTCCAGGAGTTGGTGAAGGACAAGGAAGCCTGACGTGCTGTAGTCCAAGGGGTCGCAAACAATCAGACACAAATTAGTGACTGAACAACAATACATAGAACTGGAAGAAAAGGCTATTTTATTTTGGTCACCTGATTTTTTAATCTATTAGATTAAAAATTATCACCAAATGTGGTGGTGGTGCTGGAGATGCTATGGTAAAATCACATACAATGAGTAGAAGAATTCTAGACTTGGATTTGAGACTCGACTCTGTACACACTAGCTGTATGCTCTTTTGGAAGTCATTTAATCTTTCTGAGCTTCAATTTCCTATAAGAGGCACCAGTACCTACTTCACAGCGCAATCTGAATGAATGAATAAATAAAACATATCACATAGAGCTTGGTAAGTACTAAGAACCTGGTAAATGCAAGGGATTATGATCATAAATTGGAAAACACATTTTCTGTATAAACCCTAGGAGGTAAAATCATCTCACAAATACACTTACAGTGGGGTGTGTATATGTAAGCTGCTAGTTATAAACAAGAACAAATTGAAAATTTCATTCTATTTAGTAACTTAAGAACATAATAAATAACAATTCAGTGTTTACTATCACAAACTTAGATTACTATCATACCTTTCTATCAAAGCTCTTGGAATGCTTTAATGTGTCTTCATTTCATGTTACAGAAAACATTCAGGTATTGTTTGCTCTGTTTCAATATGCCAGCTTGAATCCAAATGCAGACTTAACCATTTAGCTTCCTGTACAGCACTTGAGAAACTTTGCCAGAATGACTGCTTTATTAATCACTGCTTTCGGCTTTAAAACTACATTTCACATTAATGTTTCTGAAGTTTTCGGGTCAGATGAAAAACGCAAGTGTGAGCTAAGTCGCTTCAGTCTGACTCTTGGTGACCCCATGGACGGTAGCCCACCAGGTTCCTCTGTCCATGGGATTTCCCAAGCAAGAATACTGGAGTGGGTTGCCATTTCCCTCTCCAGGGGTACCTCCCGATCCAGGGATCAAACCTGAAGTCTCCTGCGTTGGCAGGTGGATTCTTTACCACTGAGCCACCAGGATAGCCTGCTTGGCACATACTAAGCACCTAATAAATAACTGTTTAATGAATGGATGGACTGAGGTTAAGGAGAACTAAACTCTTCTTCTTGGTCCTTCTTACAGACATCCCAGCTTTAGATAAAATCTTTGACCAAGTCTGGATTTACTGATCTCTCAAATGCAGTGACTAGACAGACGATAGTCATTAGGGCCTGGACCTCTATCACAATATGATGACTGTACCTGCTCCATAAAGGTGCTCAGAAACTGTTAAATGCAGGAGGGATTCTCTGTCTGGGCAGTACCTTGGCCAGGTGCCTTGGCTAGGTGAGGTAGAATAATATACTGGTCTTTGTCCACTGGAGTTCCTAAAACCCTTCTGAATTCCTGGGTGACAGGAGTGTCTCTCAAATTTATAATGAGTCCTTCCGCAACTGAGTTTATGCTAAGGAGGCACCTGGAGGATGGGTTATGAAAACTCTCGAACAACGGGATTCAGAAAGCTTCCAGGTTGGTGAACATAGCCAGTTGCCCTCTTCCCTTCAAAGGAACACCGCACAGGTCAAGACACCGGAATTCATGACTTAACAACGGCTGGTCCCCCCATCCCCTTGTCTTTGCCCCTCACAAATGCCGCCTCCACAGTGGCTCAGGACTCACAGCTAAAGCACCCTGTGGAGCCAAACACTGGGCTGAACGGCCTTCCTTTCCCCACACCCCATGGCCTTCTCACTCGGCAGGTGAATTCTGGTTCTCCTCTTAGCACTAATGCAGAAATCAAAGACAACTTCCATACAAAGGCCCAGCATGACGCCTGAGGGGTTCCTGCTGCACTCAGAAGCTTCAGGAAAGCACAGAGGGTAAGGGCGCTCACTGGGTTTGGCACATTTCACCCGCTGGGTCAGGACGGACACCTGGATCTAACGTCTGCCCAGGGGAGCAGACATCTCTCCAGGGAGGCGCTCACCCCACAACGGAAGAGTTTGTCCCCCGTCTTCAGATTCAAGGTGCTACACACCTCAGAGCTATGAGTCACCTTGCAGGCTGCCCCGTCATCACTCTCTTCTTTAATCAAATTTCCTTTTGATGAAGGGGAACCCGCGGACACGGACGTGAGCCAGCTCCCTCTGCCAGAACCTCGGTCGTTTCCTCCACAGCCCAGGAACCACCCAAGAACCCGACCACTGCATCAGAGAGACACGCATGTATGGACTGGGGCTTCACCTGAGTCCCTCACTGTCACTGCCACTTCCGGTCCTGTGCGTCCATCCTACCGGAGGGGGAGCCAGGAGTGGGCACCACACAGGTGCGGCTGGGGAGGGGCCATGACGTGAGGCCGTCCCCACAGGACTGCTCCCCTAGGAGGGGAGAAGAGGCCACGGCCGCCCTGTCTCCGTGGCAGAGGAAGTGGAAAACTCACGGTGAAGAAACAAAACACAAATTTTAAGGTAAAAATAATGGCTCAGATGGTAAAGAATCTGCCTGCAATGCGGGAGGCCCGGGATTGATCCCTGGGTGGGGAAGATCCCCTGGAGAAGGAATTGGCAACCCACTCCAGGATTCTTGCCTGGAGAATCCCATGGGCAGAGGAGCCTGGCAGGCGACAGTCCATGGGGTTGCAAAGAGTCAGACACAACTGAAGCAGTTAACACTTTCACTTCTAAAAAGAAAGGGTGGGGGAAACTGTGTGAAAATCACGACCCCATCCACTGTGCGTCCTAGGGGCCCGTGTTCCCCAGGGAAGCTAGCCCCCACACTTGATGCCTCACAGCTGACCCAAAAACAGGTGCCACCACCTAGGATGGATAGACCTGTTCAAGGGCCTTCCTGGAGGAGGAGCCCACACCTGCACAGGTGGGCCGCCCCCAGGACCACACTGGATGGAGGAGAATCGCTCCTCTTAAAGAGAAGAGCAGGCTGAGGGGACTAGGTCATGTTCATGTCACCTCTGCTGGAGTAAAGAATCCCAAGAGCAGAATGGGATCAAGTAATTGGAACGTGGCAGATCCCTGGTCTGAACTACGGCCAAGAGTGAAAGTCTATGATGGACGATATCCCAGGGTCTAGGGGTCATCCTGTCACTGGTAAGGTCTCCGGTGGTTCAGCCAGAATGACACCATCCTATCGGCCAAAGAGGAGGAGTTTTGAGATGAACCCTAGCATTGTCACAGCCATCCAGATTCACACGGCAGGGTGAACAACGGCAGGAAGCATCTTACCAGAAGTGCTCCAGCTACCCACCAGAGCTGAGCTGCTTCTAGGAGCTGTGCCTTCCCCGGGGCAGAGGGAGGGGTCACACGGGGGGTGCCTGTCACCCCACACAAGGCAGATGCAGAGATGCGCTGCCATCTGTGAGAAGCGGAGTCAAGCCTGATTAGTTCCACTGTGAACTGTTAGCAAGCTGCCTTTATGACAACAGAGATGCTGCAGAGAAATCAATGCCCTGCCCCCAAGACTACAAGAACCCACCACTGCTCTGGGGAAGATGCTCCCATCTGTCCAGGCAGGTCTGCTCTGGTTATTTCTCGAGACCAACTGCTTTTGTTACACGTTCACATACCAGGAAAAAGACACCCTCTTCCCACTCCTCAGGCCAAGGCCCCACTTACCAACTTCATCCCTGATGTTTGCAAGCTCGATTGACAGCTCTTTCTCTTTCACAAGGGCACTTTCATTCTGAAAAAACAAAACGGACACCGAGATTCCCCTCATTTGAGTCTGGATAAGGACTTTCACATGTTTAATTAATGAATCACATTAAGCAAATATTTATAAGCCGAGTCCTTAAGGAGGTAATTTTCTCGTTAGATAAGCATATACAAAACGCACAAAGCCAAGTCTGACTCATTCATTTGTATCACATTCGAATCACAAAGCTTGTCATATAATATTAATCATACCCTGTGGTTGTGCTTTTCTCTATATTCTAGTCTGTGGACATCAACCTACAATAATTCTCTGCACATTAATCTACTGTTACATATTATTCTACATTTTTATTTATTGTCACCATTAACGAGATTTTTGACCATGAAAATGCCAACGCCATACCTCTCTGACAGACAGATGTTTATTTTACCAAGTCTCCTTAAACTTACCCTTTCGTCCATACATGCATGGCCAGCTACCTAATAAACAATGAACAGAAAACCTAATATGAAACATTTCTCTTTGTCATAAGACCAACACCAAAATTAGAGGTTTCCAAGTATTTTGTTCCACTCCGTGCATTGGTAGAAGAAGAGGAAAACTCCCACTCAAAGAATTATTTACTGCAAAGAATGCCATTTGTCACTAAATGACTGCTAAGTTGTTTTCAAATCAAATTCCTATTAGGACATAAAACAGAGAAGCAGTTGAAGATATGAGTCAGCATCAAGACTTACATTTGTTATGATTTTATTATTAATAATAACTAGGGAAGATGTGTTCTGTAAATTCTTTTCCAGTGAGAGATGCCAAAAATACAGGCCTTCAAGGAAAGTTTCTTTCACTCTGCAGAATGCACACCCAATGCAAACATTTCCCAAGAGGGAATTTTGGCTAAAAGGGTACCAAATATCTAGCACAGATATCATCAAGGCCGAGTGAACACTTTCTTTCATAACCTCCTCTGACTTTGATGTCAGCACCTCCAGGCGATCTGGGCTGAAGAAGAACAGACAGTCATCACAACTGTGTCCCTGTGTCTCCTGCATTTAGACCCTGGTGACATGTGAGCTACTCTGGGCCCATGGCAGGGTCTCAGGTCACACAAAGGGCATGTGCTAAGCAATACCAGAATTTCATGCCAAAATAAAACTCTATTTACATCATAAGCTGAGAGCTATTTTAGTCACAAGCATTAACAGTGATTAAGTCACGGTTCTCTTGAGACTCATGCAGCAATGATATACCCTTTGGGGGACAGTGGGCCCCATCTCCCTCATGAAGCTCCCGCATCCCACCCCAGCCTGCAGCATCCTTGCCCTCTGGGAATTTGAAGGCAGGAGACCACCTCTCAGAGTGCATACCCTCCCAGTGCCACGCCCACTGCACAGGGTTATCCTGAAGGTTAAATAAATTAACATAGGTGAAGCAGTTAGAACAATGCCTGGCACTTGTACACTCTATACAAAGTGTTACTTGTTACTACAACTCTGCCGTTTCCTTTGATTTTACTTGCAACTGGATGACATCCTACAGATAAGAGGTGCTTTTCCATATTGAATATCTGAATGTGTTCAGAATTTGCATTTATCTCTTCTCTCTTTTTTTAAAGCACCTTTCTGGCTCTGTTGTGATTCTACTCTAAGTTCAAAGACTAGAGAATACAACACAGGGAAAATGTCTAATCAGACTGATCACAGAGACAGGTCCTTGTTCGAACATCAGTGGAATACAGCCAGCTGACTTGTTACTACAAATTAAGAGAGCCTGATATTCCAGAGAGGGTAAACTTCAGTATTTACCCTGAAATAATCTCAAACTACGGAAAAAACTAACTTGTTTCTGCTCCTCCAATATCTCCAAAATTGCTTCAGTCATGTCCAACTCTGTGACCCCATGGACTGTAGCCTGCCAGGCTCCTCTGTCTATGGGATTTTCTAGGCAAGAATACTAGAGTGGGCTGTCATTTCCTTCCCCAGGAGAATTTCCCAACTGAGGGATCGAACCTGAATCTTCTATGTCTCCTGCATTGGTAGGCAGGTTCTCTATCACTAGCACCACTTGGGAAAGAGACATTTTGAATTATATCCCTGGTAGCTCAGCTGGTAAAGAATCCGCCTGCAATGTGAGAGACCTGGGTTCTATCCCTGGCTTGGGAACAGCCCCTGGAGAAGGGAACAGCTATCCACTCCAGTATTCTGGCCAGAAGAAGAATTCCATGGACTGTATAGTCCATGGGGTCACAAAGAGTTGGACATGACTGAGTGACTTTCACTTCACATCCTCAATTTGAAGCACAGTCAGAGAACCAAAATACTAACCTTGCCAGAACAGAAATAGCATCACTCACGATTCACTCTTGAGCTGCTGAGAGTTGCAAAGACTTAGTCGAGGTTGCAAATGGAACAACCAGAACCTAACAAAAAATCCATAAGCCAACTCTGACTGCTAACCCAAAGCCAAGGTTTCCCTAAGCTCCTGCAGCAGCACTCGGATGAAGCCCTGGGTGGATGGTACCCGTGTGTGGGTATCCTGCATCACCAGCCATCACATCCTACTTTCCAGCCATGGAAGCCTCGGGGACATGGGAAAGGAGGAGCCTGAAGGTCCAGGAAGGACAGGCCTCAGGTAGAGTCGGTGCTGATGATGTGGGTGAAGTTCCTCAGACTTGAGTCACTTGGATGAAAAGCTGACATGTACAGTCAGGCCTGCCCCATGTATCTTTGCTTGAGGAGAAATGCAAATGATAGTGAGACAGAGAAGAAGGTAGAAAAGAAAGGGAGGAGGCGGGAAGGGAAAAGAGATGCAAGGCAAACAGGAAGGAAGCCAGTGAGATGAGAGACCTGCACCCTCTCCATTCTGGGAGGCAAAGATGAGGATGATCAATGAAGATCCATCCTGCCCTCATCCCCAACCTTCTGCAAAGACAGATGACCAAACCAATGGTCTCAAAGTCATCAAACAGCTCATCAAGGAAGTATCAGCTGCCAAACAGAAGCAACAAATCTGATGGCTAAAAAGTCAAGGGAAATAACTAAACTCAGGTAAGGTGTGCTGATTGTGTGTCTGCTCATTTGTGTTTGACTCTTTGCAACCCATGGACTGTAGCCCACCAGGCTCCTCTGTCCATGGGATCTCCTAGGCAAGAATACTCGAGTGGGTTGCCATTTCCTTCTCCAGAGGGATCTTCCCAATCCAGGGATGGAACCTGCATCTCCTGCATTGGCAGGTGGATTCTTTACCATTGAGCCACCTGAGAAGCCCATGCTGATTACTACATCAATATTAACACTGACCTTGATCAAACACTAGTGATCAAACCAGTCAATCCTAAAGAAAATCAGTCTTGAATATTCATTGGGAGGACTGATGCTGAAGCTAAAACTCCAATACTCTGGCCACCTGATTGGAAGAACTGACTCCTTGGAAAAGACCCTGATGCTGAGAAAGATCAAAGGCAAGAGAAGGGGATGACAGAGGATGAGATGGTTAGATGGCATCACTGACTCGATGGACGTGAATTTGAGCAAGCTCTGGGAGTTGGTGATGGACAGGGAAGCCTGGCGTGCTGCAGTCCATGGGGTCACAAAGAGTCGGACACGACTATGCAACTGAACTGACCAAACACTTCTGAGACACCAGACACAGCGCACGGCAAGCCTTTTGCTCACTTACTCCTCCAAATATGGTCAACCAGCTCCATGGTTTATTTTCCATTCTGGAGGACAAAATTGAGGCTCCATGGTTAGGATATCAGCCGAGTAACATGCACAACTAGCCAGGAAGTGGTGAAGCAGGAGGTTCAAGCCAAGGTCTATACTCTTCACCAAACACTAACATAAGGAGATTCTCCCTCCAACCCACACTTATAAAGACCCAATGTTGATACCCAAATCACACCGATCCTCAGCTTGGATCCAAGCGCAAGTTGCCACCAAGGTTTCTACATCTAACTGGAGGACAGGTACTGCCAGCCCCTGATGATTCTGCTTCACTGAAAATATTCCCTGGCTACATTCACATCCCACCCACCCCTGCCCTCCTTGGTGGGGTATTTGTCCTTGGTGTGGGTTTGTAGGTTGCACTTCAGTTCATTTCCATTCCAGCCTACATGGGGCTGTAACACCTGATAGGGTAGCTGTTTAGCTTTTCCTGATGAGTTTTCTCTGACCCTTTCTGACCACCTCCCCACACATCCCTGCTGAAGACGCTGGCGCAGCTCTGCTCTAGGGGGCCGGCCAGAGCAGTCTAGCTGCAGCCCTTCTTCCTTAAGTGCCTGTTTTTGAAATGACATCAACTCTTCTAATTTATGAATTCTCTGCATCAATTAAGTTCCTCTTGGTTTACTTCGAGCCAAACCAGAATGACGTGATGGAATGAGTCAACAGCTTGGACTTCAGGCACAGTGCTCCTCAGGCAGGATGAGAACCTAGAGGGAATTTCCACTCTCCACTCCCTGCCTTGTAGAGTCACCCTTCCACCTTTCGTGGCTCAGCAGAGCCCAGCAGGGCCTGAAGTTCTCCTGAGTTATCAGGAGTGAGGCCTCCCTGAAGGTTCCCTTGGAAAGGCTCTCACACACCATCCTCCTTCCCCCATCTTCCACCCTAAGCCAGATCCGGGGTGATGACACAGCGGGACGGCTGAAATACGAGCAAGGTCTCCTCAACGGGCCAGCGTTAGATTAGTGCTTCCCTACATGGGGACTGAGTGGAAAATTCCTCACTGGTGCCAAGCACATGAGCCCCTGCTTTCACTCCAATGGGCTAAAAATAGAACTCAGTATTAGGCATCCAAGCTATCCTAATGATACAGTCCAGAAATCGCCAAGTCCAAGAAGGTTGTTCCTCTAAAACAATCGTTTACTCCAGGATGGGCTTAACTGGAAAGGGGACGCTTGTAGAACGTTCGTCTTGGCCCCATAGCAGGAGTCCTTTTAGATGCCTCTGTGACTCGGCATGTCTCCTTGGCACTCCAAGTCTTCTTGTGCCCGCAGCATGGCCTGCTGCACCTGCAGACAGAATCTCAGA